GGTGTTTGGACAGCCATAGGGGGGAGGAGGACACACAAATCCTCCTCCCCCCTTTGGCTGTCCAAACCCCGCGCCCCCCCTCGTTTCTCTCGCCAGTACTTCATCTTGTATCTTGTGTTCGGTGCTCCCGTACCGCCGTACACTTCCCCTTTCAACCAGGTTATTGGTGGGTGAGGGAGCTCGCAGTTATGCGTACGGCGCGGGACTAGCTGTTTGGTGCCCGGAGCAGCCCGTGCCGCCCGAGGTGAGGTGGGTTTTAGGGGGGGGGAAGGGGGGAACGGGGGGGGAAAAGGGAATGTGTGTGTCTGTATGTGTGTGTACTGCGGGGTGGAATTTGGAGTAGGGAGGAAAGGGGAGGGATCGAGGGTTATATGGAATTGATGAGGGAAAAGAGATACGGAAAGCACAGCTCGGTCATATCCAAGCACCTTCCCCTCCCGCACGGCCCCGGAGGGAAACACAAGCACACAAGGTTAATCCGTTATAAGTCTGTTGCTGTACCAACTGATCTACCAACCACTTCGATGCGGGCGTACGATAGTTCCAGGTCACGCCTGCGTCCCTGGCGGCCTGGCGGAAGTACATTGACATGATTCGACGGGCGGCTGTAGCAACTGAAACAACCGCCGCAACGACCCGAGTCAACGAACAACGGTATGCGCTAACGAGGGGGGTGGGCCCGGCGGCAGGGGCTGCGGGGGCAGGGGGCCGAGGGCCGGCGGCCATGACGGCGCAATTTAGCGCTGGAGAGGCCGCCACCGCCGCCGCCGCCGCCGCTGCGGCGGCGGTGCCCATTCCGATGACGACAGCGGTGACGGCGGCGGCGGCCCCACGGCCACCATCGCATATCCATGATGGCCAACTGTACGGCACAGCAGCCGCCGCCACCGCCGTCGGGTTACAGCCCACCATCACCACTGACACAAACAGTACGGCGATGGAGAGCATAGGTGTGTATCAGCTCTGTACGGCACTCGAAATGACGGCCGGGCTGACGCCGACAGCGGCGGTGGGTGATGGGCAGCGGACGTGTGCCGGAGATCACGCCGTACGGCAGTCAGATCTGGATCCAGAAAACTTGGATCCACCTAATATCTTTCCCAGTGGGGAAGCTAACGGAAGTTGTAACGCCAACACAACCAGCTCCTTGCCGCTGCTGAGAACGAAACGCGCACGCCGCGTTTCCTCTTGTACGGCGTCGGGTACGGCAGCTGACGGCGTCAGTGCCGCCGACCGCGACTCTGGCCAGGGGTACGAAACGAATACGTCATTATACGACAATGGCGATGAGGAAGATATGCTGTACGACACTGTTGGCGCGGTGTGCGTCGACTTTCGAGGTAAGGGAGTTCGGGTGGAAACCTGTCCCGTGGGGTAAAACCCTGGTAGTAACGCTCACTCCCCAAACCTAGACCGGCCAATCCGCTGCCGCCCCCGCGTCCCCGCTTCCCACTAGGCTGCTTGGCGGCGGGCGTCTCCTCCGGCGGCATCGCCGTCAAGTTCCCGGGCCGTGTCGGCGAGGCGGCGATGTACGGCAGTGGCTGCTGGGCTCAAAACCCATGGGCATGTGACACCTGTACCGCTGCCGCCGCTGCCGCCGCCGCCGCCGGCACTGCCGCCAGTAATGGCGCCAACACGCTTGCCTTGCTTCCGCCACGTCCGCCGCGGCATCTTCTGCCGTCGCCGCCGCCAGCCGCCGCCGCCAGTGGCCCCTACCACAGCAGCCGCCGTCAGCGCTACTGCCACTGCCGGCCTGGCTTCGCCGCCAGCGTGACGGGGGTCGGCGAGGCGGTGATACGAGCGGACCTTGCACGACAGTGCGCCGCCGCCGCTACCACCGCCGTCGCTGGCGGCTCCGGCGCAGCAGCTGCTGCTGCCGTCGACGTCGACGACAATGGCGGCGGCGGGACGGAATGCCGCAGCGGTGGTAGTGGCGGCGGGGGCAATAACGACGGCGGTGCTGCTGCTGGCGGTGGCGGTGGCGGTGGCGAGAGATATCCGGAGGCCGACATAGAGCTTGCGCACCGCCCCAGCGGCGGCGGTTCGTCCCTCTTAGACGAGGTGAGGGTTCGAACGCTCCCACTCCCCTCCCACCGTATCAACTGCGCCATAACCCTCTCCCCTCTATCTCTCTAACCCGACCGGGGGCCCCCACCTCCTCCCTTTCACCCCCCCTCCCTCTTACGTCTGCGATTCGTCTTTCCCCTCTCCCTTCCCCCCCCTACCCCTACGTTTGGTACACTCTTGCTCTGGCAGCAGCTTCACTCGTGTGTGGTTCGTCTTTCCCCCCTCTCCCCCCTTCCAGACTCTCTGCGAAGTGCTGCTCCAGCGACTTGTGAGTTGTCAGGAGCCGCCTCGAGAGGGGGGAGTGTTGGCGGTGCGGGTGGGAGTGAGACTGGGGGGACAGCAGGGACGACCAGGACAGTCGCACTCCGCTCCTCCCGGGGGGCCCAGGGAGCAGCGGGTAGGGGGGGAACGGGGACAGGAAGAAGATGAGACGGGCCCCAGCTCGAAGACGGCTACGGGAGCGATGGATCCGATGGAGAAGCCGTCCCCACAACCACTACAACCTCCACCACCGCAACCATTGCGTTTGGATGATTCAGAGGCGGCAGTAGCAGCTGTTCCAGCAGTAGCAAAAGCAGTAGCGGCAACAGCGGATTCTTGGGGAGCGAATCTGGATTCAGATATTTCCGGAGGCTGTACGGCAGACGGCGGCGTCTCTATGGACTGGGAGGGGGAAGGGGAGGGCGAGGGTGTAGAGGAGGGGGGGGTAAAGGAGGCGATGGAGGTAGAGGTGGAGGTAGCGGCGGTCCATTGCGCGACGTCCATGGCTGTGGCGTACATGTCCCACGGGTCGCTCCGAGACCGTGTTCCTCATCCTGAGGCCCCGGCGATGGCGGCAGAGGCTGCGGTGGAGGAGACGGCAAGGTGGTCTGATGCGGGCGGAGCGACCCGTGTGGCAGATACACGCGCGGCGGCGGCAGCGGCAGCGGCGGCGGCGGCGGCAGCGCAGCCGCAATGGGCGTTTCTGCGGCGGCAGCCGGCAGCATCGCAGCCCCTCCAACCGCAACCTCTGTCAGGGGCGGGTTCGGTTGCGGGTTTGGTTCGAATGGGTTTGGGTGTGAAGTGGTATGTGGGACAGGAGATGAGGAGTAGGTGTTGAGACCTGCTGCGGCTGCTGTGGCGGCTGCGGCTGCTGTGGCGATTCTGTTGGCGATTTTGTGGGGTCTGTGGGACGAGCGGAAGAGGTGAGGTGAGATGAGATGAACGAACCAGGATGTATAAGCATTGGCCCCATACGTGAAAATAAAATACATGCAGCCAACATGGGGAAAAGCTGACCCCGGCCTCCCGCGACTCATGCGTCATGTATCAGATTAGGAGGGAGGCATTGACATCAGGAGAATGTATTAACACTGGGTCCTGGTAATCAGGATATCACGTGTTGACTTTTTAACGCCGCCTTTTGGAGGCCTAACACGGGAAAATGAAGTGGAGATTAGCTCCGAAGCTCGCGGCACCCGCTGCCGTGCGGCTGCCGCCACTTCCCCCGGGGGCTTCGCCTCCCCCCGATGTAACTTCGCCCCGCCGCTTCTCTCCCCTGTCAGCTTGTGCAGGACCTCCGCTAGGCGGCCGCGGCGGCTCACCAGCTTCTGGGGAACTTGTGTCAAAAGCTTCGCCGCGCGGAGGGACAAGTCTGTCTGCAATTGCTTTGGCAAGGGCCCAAACGCTCCGCAGCTGTGCTGCTCCTGACCCGTTCCTCAACCGCCTTCTTCATAGCATCGAGCAAACCTAACTTTGACGTAGGCGATTAGGCCCCTCAAGGCAACATCCATCTCTCGGTGATCACTGCTTTCTTTTGTGCTGTGGAAGTGGCTTCGCTGAATTCCCGATATCTCATAGCCAAGTCTTAGCGAAACACATATTCAACACTGCCGAAGCCATTGCCTTCACAATTTAAGCAAGCAGAAATCAAAAACCTATCAGGACTTTATCCCCACACGAAGAAAGCAGTAAAGGTAAACCTCCAGAGATAGCTTCTCTAGCTGTGTATATCGAGGACATATAAACCCGGCCTGAAAGAAAACAGCCAGCCATAGTGTTTCATAATAATATATACAGTCCGATTAACATCGACTGCCCCATATGGTCGGCTTGTAAACTCATATGTCTGACCTTCCCTCCGTTTTTGGGATGCCGTACTTGGTCTAAATCCGCGCTGCAGGTCTTCTCGCCACAGCACAGCACATGCTGTAACCACGCATCTTAACCCAGAACCCCCATGTAATTAAGTTGCGCCAATCCAACGCATCCCTGCTACCCAGTAAGCTCGGTCAAAATGCTGGATTCCACACTTCCAAGCTGCGCAGTTACGTGACGCGACACTTTCACACACAGTATGGAATTACCTCCAGCTGATAGCATAGGTTGGACCTTTCGGCCTCAATCTTTCGGGTCCCAAGCGAGTTTCGCTGCTGTCGCTGGTGGCCATGCCTCAGCCATGCCTCAACTGTTAGGCCCCAGCGTTCCACCCGGGATTCATCCACATGATCAGTACCAATCGCTTGAAGTTCAGCCATACAATCCAAATGGAGGTTCCAGACTGGAGCAGTTCCACCATCACCACCATACAGTCGTGGACATCCCAACCGGTGACGCTCCTCAGCAGCACGCTGAGCCGGATGACAGCCATCTGGAAAGGCTCCCCCCTCGAACGGACTTGGAACTCCTGCAGCAGAAATACTCGGAATTGCGGGAAGCGCTGGACCTGTGGCAGCGAAGAGCAAGCGGAGCGCAGCAGCAGGTACAGGGGAAAAAGACGCACACGGTCCGGCAACAAATCCTCATCCCGCACGACGCAACCCACCACCGTGGTATTCCCCCGCTCCACTCCGTTCGTCTCCACTCCTGCCCCGATTTGGGTCTTGTCACGGTGTCCATTTCTCCCCAACTGTTCCCGCTCTTTGCCCTGCGCTCTTCCCTTTGAAACTCAGGGTTTCAAATTCCCGATTCTAGCTGTCAATATCCCAAAACCGTTGTCGCCACTGTCACTGCCGTTAACGCCGCCACCGTAAACTCCTTCCTGTCTCCTGCCTTCGTAACGGCGCTCTCCTAATGGGCCCCCTGGCCCCCTACTCCTCCCTCCCCATTTCTCCATTCCAGGAGACCTTTCTCTGATTGCTTTCGCACCCATCCCGGACCCAATCAATTTTTTCACCTCCCCCCCCCTTTAATTGTGAGGAGCACTTGCATATCACCAGCTTTTTATTATCAACTAATCAGCCAGTTCTTGGCCAAACTTCGTCAATGCCGCCGCCAGGCCCGCGGCACCCTTTATTCCAGCTTCGCGTCAGCAGTTTTTTACTACGTCTTTCCCCCCTTTACCTTTCGTGGTTCGTCTTTCCCCCCTTTACCGGATGAAGCTCCATCCACTAAGCACACGGACACTAGCAGTTGCATGGAACCCCAACACACACCCGTCCTTCACACCACGCCTGGCAGATAAGCGATGTCCCCGCTTGAATTATATCGCCTAATGACCTGGAATCGAAGAGCTTGCTGATGCAAACACGAGTCTCTAGTTTTGCATGGCCCCCTGACACCATCCCCACCCCGTCCATGATGACTACTTCTCTCTTCCTTGTACCCCTTGTACTATTTGTTCTTCCAACCCTCTGCTTTTGTTTGTTTGTTTGTTTGTTTCCTTGAAGGAGCATATCACCCTATGATGCGATGAGTGCTGCGGCCTGATGAGTGCTTGTGTGCTCTCTCGTGCGGTGTCTCAGCTTGTGTGTGTGGCTGTGAGCTCGCTGTCCGGGTATACCGTTAGGATGGGATCTGGATCTCGGGTGGATCGTCGGTTCGTCGGTAGGCTTTTCCTTTGAGCAACTCTTTCTACCCCCCCCTCCCAACAACTCTTGCCTTGGCAGCAGCTTCACTCGTTCGTGGTTCGTCTTTCCCTCCCTCCCAACAAGGTCACACCGCGGGACTCACCCACTCCCCCCCCCCCCCCACACACACACCCTGCTTCTCCTGCCCGGGATGATGTCGGCGGTAGTTGACCCTCTGCTTCTATCATCATCACCATCATCATCATCATCATCATCGTATGATTCCTCACTTCCCTCCCCCTTTTTCGTCCGCTATCCGGTCCTCAAGCCCTCTTCCCCCCCCCTCTCCCCCCCACCTCCACCTTCCAACCCAGGCCGATGCCAGCCACGCGCACCTGGTTCATCTTCAACGTGAGAACTGGGAGCTGGGCAGCGAGGTGGTGAAGCTGCGGCAGGAGGTGGCGCTGCTGGGGGGAAACCTTAACGGTCAACTGTCCCTCGTGCAGGTGGGGCCCCGTGTGTGTATGTGCGTATGTATGTAAACATATGTCTGTGCGTGTGCGTTTCCTGTTGGAGGGAGCATAGTGCTGTAAGGGATTTAAACGAGGCGGCCTCAGGCTGGGAAGACACAAGGGAGGGGGAAGGAACACTGAGCGGGGGAAAGAAGTTTTCGTATTGCACAAAGCTTTAAAGGAGAAGCTTTATAGAATGTAAGTGAGAGGCAAATGCGGAAGTAGTTTGGTTTATATATTTCCGCTGCAGGGCGCCGTGGTTTCGGAGCTACAGTCGCAGCTGGCGGAGCGGCTGGCCCAGGTATGTGGCCTACAGGAGGAGGTGGCGGCGCTGGCGGCTCAGCTGCAGGCGGCGGATCGTGACGCAGCGGCGGCGGCAGCAGCGGCGGCGGCGGAGCGGCAGCGGCTGGCGGCGGAGCTGGGTACGGCACGACTGATGGCGACGGCGCGGGGCCGCGGAGCGGAGGAACTGCAGACGCAGCTGGCACAGGTAGGATGTGTATGAGAGAGAGGGG